AAATGCGAATTAAATTTGCTTCAATTGCAAATTCTCTACATTTCATTTTTCTGTTGGTTTTTTCTTATTATATTTCAAGAGAAAAAATTTAATAAATTCTATTTTAAATTATATTATAGACTTAAGTTAAATATGCTAAATAATAATGCAAATATTCATCATTGTTGCTTAAGAAATTAGCACACCTATACATACATACATACACTTCTACGTAAAATCTCAGCTTTTTTTTACTAGTTTATAAAGCCGGCTTTTGTTACGTACTATACAAATAGTTGCACGTATGTACATATGTATAGACAGGCAGCAGGCAAACCATTTAACAGCATCGAACCATATATCGAACCATAAAAAAAATTCTGTGAACTTTCTGTGAATGAAAGTAATATTTGCTGTCTGTAGCCGACAACATTTGCTTGCAACGTGCAAGAACCACGCCACTTTTTCAACCAATTGTATACGTTCGTCAACTTTCCACACTCCGCAAACACTTCTTGAAGCAAAAAAGCTCATCATCATGGCTTTATAAGTGATGGCCGGTCACAGCAATAATTTTTTTTCTTTATATTTCTAAAACATTGTACAGACTACACGCTAAGCTTAATACTAAATTTTCTCCTGTTTTGTTGTTGCTTTTCATTAAATTCATGAGTTATACAATATCGCCCCGCTACAGCACTCACCAACTCTTTGCCCATGAACTGACTCTTCTATTGTCATGCTGCAAAGTGAAAAAATTGAAACTGTCGAACAAAAACCGGTAAAATTTTGCACTGCACACAGTGGCGAGGTAAAGTTTACGTACATCTCGTACAGTTTTGTGAAAGCAGTACCCTGCAAACGAGTACTGAATCATCAGTAAGCGTCAACGATTTTAAATGGTTTGGAGGGAGCATTGAAATGTCAGACATGCGCACGGCGTTTGTGGAATACTAACATTAAAATCTGCTGATTTTAGGGTGTTGACGGATGGGAAAGAAAAATAACATGTGTAGGTCGTCGGACGGTTGGTTTTGAAGCTTAGAATAATTTAGGTCTGACACGATTATTATTTTGTTGTATTAAGGGTTGAAGGTGGTAGAGAAAGGTGAGTTTTATAATTTTTAACACAAGCGTAGGTAGTCTATACAATAGTAGTGAGAGAATTTTCTACTGTAACGTAAAAGTAACGTTCTTTTCAATTTGAATCCAGCAAATAAAAGGAATTCTTTAATGCATCCATCCGGTTACGGTGCGTCAGCCATTCATTATTATTATCATTATTTTGGGCGAAGCCGTTTTGTAAGTTTACATTTATTAACTGATAATATTTGCAAATATTTAGTAATTTCTCGAAATATTTAATGATTACTTAAATAATTTTTACTTATTCATTTCGGTTTTGTTAGAGCTGTGAGCAGACCTTGATTTGTACTTAACGTGAAATATTTAAATCATAGCAAAAGGGCGTAGTTAAATATTTTGAACTGGGATTTAAGCAAGAAATTTATGTATATTATGTGTATTTAACTAATAAATATTATTAATATATTCGCATTGAGAAAATAAATTCAGGGAAAAGTATGTTTACTTTTAATACTTGTATTTGTATTTTTTCTTTATTCTATTCAGTTTTTTTATTCATATTTTATTTGCATTTTATTTATATACATATTCTTTTACCTTTAAATATATTCTATAGATATATGTTTCTTATTTATAGCATAGGTATATATTTTTTATTTATTCAATAATTTTTTTTTTATTATATTTACATTATTTTATATTTATATTTATATATTATTTTATATTATATTTATATATTATTTTATATTATTATATATATTTTTTATGTTTTTATTTTATTTTTTTATATTTTATTTAATAATTTTTTATACGATTAATTTCATTGCACTATTTTTCAACAGAGAATTTTTTAACAAAAAAAAACTTTCGGTTTAGATAACCATTTTCAATAACTGAGATACAGAAAGTTAAAAAAGATTAAACGGGCATTAAATATATAGTATCGTCTATATATGGGATTGTGGCACATATATCGCTAGTTTGTCGATTTAAGTTCACTGAACCATATGAGTTTCCTTATTTCAAACTAAATAAGTGAAACTAGGACATACTACAGATAGATAAGTAGTTTTGGATGGTGCCACAATGAATCTTTAGGCCTACGAGTATTTTAAGTTATTGAGATTGACATTGGAAGCTACTTGAAGATATAATATATATAAGATATATATATGTAAGATATATAATTGTATATTTACTATTATATATTATTATTATTACATATATAATTACTACAACATATAAAATTACTATTACATATATCATATTACTATTATATTCAAATTTTTACCATATATCATATTGTACTATAGTAATTAGAAATTTTTTTCTACTTCGTTAGCATCTAATAGAGTACATTGTGTTTATTTCTATAAACTATTAATGAATAATAAAGAATATTTTCTTTTAACATATATATGAAAAAAAAAATATTATTATAAAAAAGCCATGGGGAAAGGCATGCAAATATTGAAAGTTCCAATTAGACGTTAACTTGATATAGACCGTATTATAATAGCGCAATTGATTAAATTCGAATATATTAGGGTTCAAAAGTCCAGCGATTGCAATATAACAGAAAAAATTATTGAAATATGTATGTAAATGGCAAGGGTGGGATTCAGATTGTCTTAGAAGTTATATATAGAGGAATTAAAATTTAAAGTAATGCGAAATTTTGACAACGATGTAATGCTATGTACTCTAACATTGCATACTCTACAATCCATAGCTAAAAAACGAGTTTAGTTTTTATTAGAAAGCAATTGATAAGGAAACTAAACTAACAGATATTATATAACTCATTACAAAATAAGACCATTGTGCAATGAGAACATTTTAAACGCATTTAACGACTCATCAAAATTGTGAGAGATTTAAGGATTAGTAGATAATGTACACTGGGAAGATTATCCAAATAACGGAAGAATTAACATTGAATCTATGATACAACTTCTTCATATATGTATCTTTATAAATCAGTATTAGAGATAGTATGATATTTATATTAGCTATATGATATTTATATTGTATTATAATAAGGAAAACAAGCATGATATCTATAACGAAAAACTAAGAAAAATAGTTAATTAAATTTTTTTTTGGATTTCATACAAAAAGTAAGTTCACACTGCTAATTTATTAGGTTCAGAGTATAATAATCTAAGTATGTACTTATTACACTTAAAATTTGAAAAGAGACTTAAAAACTTGTTTAAGACATCGAATACATTTGCTGTCTATATTTTTGTTCAACTCTAATGGTTTTAGAGATATCAGGCCATCTAACAGCATTTCTATTTATTTGTTCACCTGTCAATCAGTCTTTTAGTACTAGTCTTTCAATATTTCAATTAATTAAATTAAACTTTGAATAAGTATACGATAAATACTATAATTTATAATATGAATTAGGGCAATAATCGTTTAAAATTGATTCACAATTTTATGTAGCGCTCATAAGCATTACTACAAAAATAACAATAAGAAAAAAATATATATTTAAAATTTGTATGGGTGAAAAAAATGTTGGTAAATAATAAAAAAAAATTAATTTTCAAGGATATTGAAACTTCGGTAAAACCAAAACAAAATTGTTTTTGTTTTTTTTTTGTTATTAATTAGAAATAAATGTTGGATTACTCCACAACATTTAAAAATATTACTATATTTTCGTCACCTGATAAATTTCGTATTATCTAGTTGGAAAACTTATCAAAAGGGATTTTTATATAATATATATTACAATTTGTCAATTTTTTAAAAATTCTTATATGAATCAATGCCGTTCAAGTGCAATTATGATGACTAATGTGATGAATTATTTGCTGATAAGACCCACCCAGTAAAAACTATAAAAAAAATTTAAGCGATTTTCTAATCAGATTCTTACATATTTATTTAATTATGACATATTCACACACTCATACACACAGTGTAAAAAAGAGAGTTTGTAATGTACACTATAAGAATTTTACAGGGGAAAGGTAAAAGTTTTAGTCTAACAATTTTCCCCCAGTGTACCCCACCTATGGAGCAGCAGACGCTCGTGGCATATATTAAAAGCCAAAACTATTTTTCACATAGCAAAAATGATGAAATTTCAAAAGTAGTTTTCATTGAATATATGAATGAATGGATTTCGGCATTTTGTACGCTTTTATTTATTGTCCATTCTCAACTTCTCTGAAGCAACTTGTTTCTACTACAGTTGTTTGGTCAGATAACAGCGCTCGCCAGCTCGCCAGTTAGCTGGCTAGTTTGGCTGGTGCAGACAGACGCTCGGCTCGGTTAAGAGCATTTTAAGATTTCTGATTTTTTTATCTCATTTAAAAGTATTTGCTAAATACTTTACCTAAAAAACCAAATACTATTTAACAAACTGAAGCAACGAGCAGAGCACATCGTTCACATGTTTGTATTTAAAAACAACATCATCGTAATAAAAATAAAAAAAAATATGTTCGTATGATGTTATATTCGTGAGAAGATTGTGTCATATTCGTGTTGCTTACCCATTTGTTTTGTTTCTTTTTTTTTTTGTTTTTGGTTTTGCTTTTATTGTATGCATGAATTTTGAGTACGGCGTCTTACCGTTCGCCCGCATCGTACGATAAATTTTTGCTATGCTACCACTGTGCATGTCCACAAACTATGCATGTGTTCAGGTTTATACGTGTGTGTTTGGTACAGTGTGTACAAATACGTCAAGGCATTGAATTGGTTTGTTGGTTGCTTAGTTGGTCGTTTTGAAAAAAATAAAGACACTAACAGCATAAAAATGCAGTAGTAATTCTCCCCTAACACTTAATAACACAATACTAGTCAGATAAATTGATTCTAATATATTTAAACTAAATATTGTAAATCTCATTTAGCACTTCATTTAATATATGTGTGGTTATATTGGGCGTGTACACTTTTGAAACACTTACCGATTACTGTCCAATTTGGTTAAATCTGTGTATCCACTCATGTTGCTTAGATTCAGGTTATCTGTAGCTGTATTTGAAAATAATGTTTTCAGTATTTTTTGCTATTTTTTTCTGGAATCAATTGAAAACTTAAATTTTCATAAAATCCCAAATATTTCGGAATACGTCAGAATTGTGTATGTAACGAGACATAAATCACTTAACACTTTCACTTCGCTTGCCTTTGCGCTAATATCAAAAATATAAAATTTGGTAATCGTTTTTTGCTGCAGCAATTCTACGGTGAAATGCCAAATGTTTGATGGCTGCCAAATTAACTTTCTAATCGATAAATTTTTGATCACTTGAGTTGATTTTAAAGAATTGGCAATTATGTGTCATTACACTGTACAATTTTTGAAAAGTTTAAGAAGTATTCTAAAAATTTCAAAAAAAATCACTGCAGTTAAACACGACCGCGACTAGCAAATGCTTACTTTCAAATGATGTCTTCGCCAGCTGTGTAGTTTGTTTTATCTGACGGCTTTTGTCTATTTCGCTCATGTGCACTCACACTCACACAATGTAAATTGTCAATCGAAAGAGAGAGCACAATTTCAGAGTTGCATTTAACGTTAATTTATTAAGAAAAATTTTGGTATTAAATAAATTTTTTAACAACTGTCAATAATATTATGACATCTAACATGTGTATATGTATATTGTTTCAAACAATTGCCTATGTAAAAACTGCATAAATAAGTGTCGCTAATTTATTAATGAATAATTGCTTATAATAAGGGTATTATATAATGAGTTAATAATTGTATAATAATAATAACATGAAAAACTATAAAACCATCATTACAATTGTGTGTAATTAATTAGAGTATTCCCCCTTATAACGCGGTAGATTGATTCCGCGTTATAGTAACACACGTTACAGGGGTATTCCCGTATACCCCGTATACACACCTGCAAAGGTACGCAAAACTAATTATAAACTGTACAAATCCTCGCGTTATATACGGGAAAGCCCATGTTATACCGGGGATTGAAATCGCGTAATATGAAAACGCATTATAAGGGTACCGCGTTATAGGAGAGATTACTGTATACTTAATACAGCTACTTTTACTCATACAAAAGAAAATCTAAAAATTTTATATTACATAATAACAGTTAATGCGATTATTAATATGCAAAGTGCTTATTAAACTAATATACGTGTATAAATTTAAAGTTCAACACAAAAACTTAAATGAAATCGATTTAGTAAATTTTTTTAGAAAGAATTATTATTAGTGTTTTTTGCATAATTTTACTTCAATTTATTTTGTATGACACTCCACTTATATATCCTAAGATTCAAGTTATGCAGATGGTCATAGTCACTTCAAATTTTAAATTGTGGTTGTTTTTAATGTAAATCAAAAAATTGTAAATGAAAAAAAGTTAAAATTTTTATAAGAATTGACTGACATTTCAAAGTAAATTAAAAAATTATGAACTTGTGAAAGGAAGGCATGATGGTCTAATAGTCAAATTAGCCCGTTTTGGGATCCCTAGTGGTTTGACTAAAATCATTGGTAGCTTCCTGCAAGAAAGGTCCTTCCGTACTAAAATTAATAGCACTCTTTCGTCCGCCCGATCAATTGTAGCAGGTGTACCTCAAGGGTCGCCTTTGTCTCCCACATTGTTTAATGTATACACGGCAGACATCCCCACCTTAAGTCCCACATCAATGGCGCTTTACGCAGACGACACATGCTTGATCTACTCGGATCGGGATGCCTTAAATGTAAGCAACACGTTACAGGGAAATATAGACCTTATGGTGGAATACTTCCAAAAATGGAAGATTAAAATTAATAATGACAAAACCAAGGCTATATTTATAACTCGAAAAAGAAGACAGCATCCTCCAAGAGTGAGCGTTTGCGACACGGAGATACGGTGGGAGGATAACATAAAATATCTGGGGGTCACTTTTGACAAACGGTTCAATTGGCTTAAACATTTGAAATACAAACGGAATAGCTGCTCTAAGATTCTACATTTATTAAAGCCGCTATTTAATAATTATCACTTCAACTTTACAAACAGAAAGTTACTTTATACGCAAGTAATTAGGCCTGCACTTCTGTACGGATGTGTTACATATAGCAAAGCCTCAAATACCACCTTAAAGCAATTACAGATAGCTCAAAACCTGGCCTTAAGAAAACTGTTTAAGATTCCATGGTACATTAGATCTACGGATATACATAGAGATCTTAGGATTGACTCAGTGAAAAAATATATCAGAGACAGAGCTTTAAAATTATTCACTAAAGTTGATACGCTACTTAACCCCGCCATAACAATCCTCAAGTCCACTTCTGGACTCTCAGGAAGATATGCTGATTTAAGGTCCGTCATCAACTAAAAGACAAATAAATGATATGATTTTTTAGCCTAGTTAAAGCCTAGTGTGGGGTAGTGATTAACCCCCCAGTCATTATAGAGTAAAAGTGCGTAATAGCACTAACTCAAGAAGAAGAAGAAGAAGAAGAAGAAAGGAAGAAATTTTGATTCGAATTTAAATACGTTGAAGAGGTTTTCTGTGTCTCGTCACAAAAAATCATATCTTTTAAGTTTATAAGATATTTACATTATAAACTTTGATGGTGGAAATCGACTTTGTGTCTAAAACCAGTTATTGAAGCTTACATTCTCGTATAAAAATAGGTTTTACCAATAATAGTAAGGGCCAGTTTTACAATATATACGGGGAGCCCGATGCGATATACACAGTTTTACAATTAAATGATCTTTAATTACCCAATAACGAGCACTTAAAGATTACTTAAAAATTAGCTGACAAGAAAAACTAATTAAATTAAGGTTTTTAGGTGGATTTTGATTATAACATTAAAAAAAATTTGAAATGTTATTTTAATGCGTCAACCAAATGAAATAAGAGAACAATCTAATTATTTCCTATCGTACAACTTTAATCAGTTTTGACTTACTTAGCATTTAAAATCTATACATTGTAAAAACCGTTAAGGGCTGAAAAAACTTATACTATTATGGAACCGTTAAATTAAGTGCAGTGTAAAATGGGAACACAAAGTACGAAATTAAGAACTGTGACGTATCTCACTGCGTACCATGCCTTTTGGTTAAAATTATATACAATTTATTGATCTAGCCTTGATAAAAAGTAGAAAAAAAACTATTATGACCATTTGTCATATGATTGTCTGTATAGCATATGTAAAAGTGCATCGGATTGAAATAAACGAGGGGAAACGATGGTCATATACATTTTGCTTTAAATTACCCAAATTATTATCATTAAATATATATAAAAGATTCTTACGGTTGGTTTTACAATAGACTCTTAAGGGCCTATTTGCCATTGCATTGACAATTGCAGTTTTACCATCAGTGAATATAAGAAATATTGAAGAAAATTTATACGTAAAATAAAATTGAAATTTTTGCAAGTTTTATCATTTAAAGTTTACAAAATATTTTTAAAACACTTGCTATCTAAATGATGATGATGAAAAATATTTTTCCTGACGACGAAGAAATGGCTTAAAGACGATTTTGCAGTGTTCAACAATAGCATAGCTGATAATGACAAAAAACATGTAAACAACTTATAGATCCGTATTTTTAAAATTAATTATAATATATTGAAGTGACTATATTTTCAAATTATTACGAATTTTATGTGGTGAAATATTGTGTTTGCACTTTTTATTCATATCGTTAATAATTTTATAATATTTGACTTCAAAGTTGAGCTTGTAAAAATTTCCAAAATAAAAATTATTTCCAAAATAACCATTTACAGATTAAAATTAATATTACAATTAATATGATTTTTCTATTATTGTGATATTATTCATGATTATAATCTTTTATCGAGTCAATACATTATAAAAGAAATACTTTCTACACTTATATTGGGGGTTCTTCAAAGGTACATTGTAAAACTGACGTTTAATGTTGTATTGCTTTTTAACTTAAATTCCCGTTTATATATAAATAATTTCTACAATATTGTTTAATTTCAATATTTGTACGAACTTTTAAGAAAAGATGTATAACGATAAGTAGAATTTTTTACTCAGATTTTTTCTTTTATGAGGGAACTAATTATGTAGCGATGAAAAAATTAATTATATATTTATTTAACAATACAACAGAAGTAATTTAAACGGTATGCAGTTAATAACAATAAAATAGTTGTTGGTTTGGTTACTTATTCCATTTAATCTTAAATTTTATTTTATGTAAATTTAAAATGACATGATAGTGTAAAAAATATGTACTGTGTTTTGTACGAGTACATTCTAGTTATTAAAACTGTATAGAATAGGAAATGAGGAAATGAAAGGTCTTATGTCAGGTACAATATGTGATAAGTGTTTTATATTATTTAATATTCTTATAGAAAAAATGTTGATAAATAGAAAATAGATATCCTAAATGAATTTGTCTGATTTGTAAATTAAGGTGTAAATATGCATGAACGGAAGAATACTAATGAAATTTTAATAGCTGTTTTAATTTTTGTATAAAATTGCAGTAATTAACGCTTAGTAATTAACAAAAGGCAAATAATTACATGTTCTGGCTTCTTTTTAGAAATTACATTTTTTTAAGCCAATGTAGAATAATGTATTACTAATTAATACACAGTGTAGAATACATGCACATATTACATAATAATCTTGCAAGTTTATAGATAATTTATTATAACATGTAATAACTACAATAATTTATATATGTCTTTTCAATTATGTAGGTATAAAAAATATTAGAAATAACAAAAATATTAATACGTTCTAAAAATATTAATATATATTAATTTACTAATAACAATAATATAATATTTGTTTAATTGGTCTTTAACCTAATAGTAAGAGTTTTTATTACATTTTATGCAAATTTTTTTAATAGTTGCAATGCTTCCATTCCGCTATACTATTTGGGTATATTGAGTTTGATGTGTCAGGGTTGCCAAAACTTCATAATGGTTGAAAATATTTTTTGTTAAATTATTTGATATTTGTACATAACAGCTTACTGAGACGTAGCGCGGTCAAGTGATAATTTAATAAACGTCTGATCGTAATTTTTTAATTATTTCTAAGTAAAGTACAGTAAACTACAATTAAACTGTCAAAGTAGTCTATTTTGTTTTGTCGTATATAAGAGCAAAGAAAAGGGACAAAAACTGATATATTTACAGTAAAACTTCTTTTTGTACTTACTTTTTTATGTGTACTCCTATTTATTATTTATTTTTCTTAAACACATTAAATACCTAGTAAAATCACTGTTGTAAGAAAATAAAAAAGGAGTATCAAATTATTAATTGAATTTTATAGAATTACTAGAATTACTAACTGTGATTGTTCTTGCGAGAATGTGTCGAAACATACCATATCTTTAAAATGACTTTTGTTTTTAATATTATAACAATCAGTTTACTATAGATATTAGAGTTATTATTGAAGTGATTTTAAATCTTTAGGTTTCCTTCTTTATAGGTATATTTACTTATATCTCATCAATTGGTCCTTCTTAGTAAAAAAGGCTTACGTATATTATATGATTACTTTATGGCTGCTGATATATTTAAAGTCAAATTCTAGACTCT